ACCACCCCCAAACTTTTGAACGGCAGTGTAACTTTCTGAGAGTTTGCCAAAATCAATTTAACTTCCAACTCATGAATTAAGAGTCCATTCCTAAATTTTAAGTTGTACTGACAGGCCAATTTCAATAAATACTCTTCAACAAGTTTTGTGTTCTGAAAGTTACAGTATGTTTTCATAGTACATCGATCTCTTTTATCTCAAAAGATCAAGGGAGACTTGATTCCTCATGATACAACCCTTTAAAACAAACACTGAAACAAGCTCACCTTTAGCATACTAATTAAAAGAAAATATTAGTAATATCATATCCCATTACTCTTAGACGGTCAAATCAGAAAATCAAATTTTCTGATAAAGCTGAGCTGAATTATAAAAGATCTGGACAACGGCCAGTTGGGTGCATTGAGTTTCAAAGTTGGATGTAAAAACAGACACTGGCATCACTGCTCATTGTAAGTCAAGCAGCACTGATCATAGGGCAAATAGAGAGATAAAGTAGTGTCGACCCTCACCTTTCAGCAACACCCACATCTCTATATGACATCGTGAGCAGGGTCGATGAGGTTGAGCAAATTTAGACAGCTAATAAATCAAACCAACCTCCCCCTTCCAAAAAAAATGGAGGGTGAGGAGAGCAAAAAGGGATTTCATCATTAAAGCCCAGATCGATTCTACTGAACCCAAAGTCCTGAGAGCAGCACTTTGCTAACATGCTATTCTAAGCATAGAGTATCCACAGCCTCGTAGCCAAGAGCCAATTCATTCATTCACTCTAAACGCTTTCATCAGAACCTCTTCCCCTCCCAATCGGAAAACACAACATGTCTTGTGATCAGCACTCTGCAGTAATTACTGTAATGAAGTGTGTATACGACGAGTACCATTAAATGTTACGGAGGAAGAGTTTGACCGATATTCAGGCTGACTGCGCTGTGCCGTCACTGCAAACCACTCCCCTCGGCCGCTGTGGCTCACTAACACCCTTCACAGTGACCGCCAAATATGACTGCCACAGAAACTGGGACGCAGCATGCCACATATTCAATCTGCACGAGAGAGAGGGATCTAGGGATGTGGAACAGAGGGAACAATATCGATTTTTTAAAATGCGTAATAAACAAGCCCTAACAGAACTAGCACAATATGACAGCTATTCATTAATATTTTACACCAGTTTTGTGTTATTGCAGATAAAGTGAATTGATAACATAGCAAATATTGCTTACGCTAAAAGATAAATGGCAGATTTGTAGTAGTCAGGCAGGAAGGAAAATGCAATCGCCCCGTATGTTCATTAGCAATACCTCTCTGCTTAAGTCTCTTCAGCAAGTGTAGCATTCCTGCGTTGCTGCTTTGCTGTATGGTTGGCGTTTGACACCTCCAATAAACTCAGCAGCTCACTGTGAAGTGGAGCGAATCGTAGAAGAATCACATGCTCCATCCTGCCCTTTCCATGCATACGACCTCTATAATGATATTAGCACTGGGATCTGTACCATGGACATCAATTACCTCCACTGGTGAGTTGTTAAATAGGGGGGTCAAAGCATTGGCCGTACACCCAGACTAGGGTAATTTATACAGCTCCCTGGTGTGCAAATCTCCATGGTGCTTCAGCCAACAGTGCTATGACTCTTCATCTAACTCTGTAACAGATGATAAGACACCGTCCAAAAGTACCATTCTGTGCTTTTGGCAGCTCTACCCAGCAACCATAACAAATGAAGGCGAAAGCGCTTCCCATCACCAGTTCTGAACTAAAAGGTGCAGTTTAAAGTGTTTCGGTCTGGTGCAGAAGATTTAAAAATGTCACTTCCTCTGGAGGCTAGGATGTAGAGGGGAAGTGCTGGACAATGTTATGAAAAGTGATTTGGTTGGACGGATGAATAAAGTCAGCACTTGACCGTATTGACCGTACAATTTATACTCCACGTCCAAACAGTTCACATTTGCGGTGGATGAGCATGGAGTGTGAATGGTGTGAATGTATAACATGGGTGTGCTGATGTGAGCAGCAGTGGTCCTGACTGATCTCAGCTGGGCTCCTGAGGTGTTAACACCCCTGAGATAGCTGTCTCTCGTGTGATGTCACCTAGCACTGCTGCTCATTCTCCAGATGACAGAAGCACAGAAGGCCAGTTCAGTAATCTAAAGCCTCCTCACATAAAACCACTGGAAGCATGAGAAAAATTTGAGTGCGTGTTTGCTTGAGGACGTTTGTGCGGTTTTATTTCAAGTGAGATTTATTCGCTTAGAATTTGTGAATTATAAATGCTTCTGCATGAAAGGGAAAACATAACAGATTAGCACTTTAATTACTACTAAGACTCAAATGTGCAAATGTTTGTAGACAGGAACAATAGTATAAATTTTCACAAAGAAATTGGACTGTTGAAAATGTGTTTAAAATCATGTACACTCACATAACATGAAAAAAACCCTAATTAAATCTGTTTCGATTTATATGGAACTGGTTGCCTCATGGGGGCAGATACTTTGAGATCACATGACCAGCCCAATACTACTGAAAACTATTATACAATAATATATCAGTAACCTATTACTTGACACTTTTAGGGGAGAAATAAATGGCAAATAATGGCATCAGTAACTGAAAACAGTAGCTTGTGCAATAATACATCCACACTGATAGGTGTCAGTACCAGATCAATGTTCCCTCTAATTTTTTTCTTGCTGAGCAAAACTTTTCTCTATCGGGCGGACATTTCGGCCACCTGAGCAAAAACATTCTTTATACCAGACCTGTACAGCGCACACACAAAGAAAGTGTGTAACTTTTAACTTTAACATGCTATTTATATTTTATTTGACCCTTGATGTAACTAAGGCCCAACCCCAATTCTACCCCTTCCCTTCCGTTTCGCGCGTTCACGTGAAGGGGTAGGGGTGTCTCAATTCTCTTTTGGTTGGAGG